CACAACACATCAGATTGTTTGTCCGTGGCAACACCTTTCAACATTTCCAAGAACCGACGCACACTCTCTGTCTCGTCCGAGCTCAGAGCTGCGGGGCTCTCTTTCTGGACCCGCTGCTGTTTCTTTTTCGTCTCAGGCTGTCCAGGCCGACGTGGAGGGGGAGCAGGTCCCCTCCTCTGGGGTTCCCAGTGGGATCCCTGGTTGTATTGGTCACCTTTGGTGCCATACTTTTTACCCTTAGGGCGTGCGCCCCCCTTCTGGTACATTCATTCATCCTCTGGTTTCTTAGGAAACCATTTAGGATCTTGCCTGGACCAGGGGGCACTCATCTGTTGTGGTTTGGCTGCTGGGAAATCTCATTTCCTCTCGCCTTTCTTGGGAGGGGGAGCTGAAGCTCTCGTCCCTTCCAATTCTAATGACTGGACAGGAATCCTCTCACCTGGGAACACCTCAATGGGTGTTTTGGCATGTGAACGGGCCTCAAAGACATTCACAGCACAATTTTTTATCTCACTGATGGTTTTCTCTTTGAAATTAGCCATCATCTGCACTGACATCCTTATGTCAGAGTGGAGATTTTTGCTGAAAACGAACTTAAACGCTTCCTCCTCCTCCATGCCGGTTTTGTTCCTGTAACCAAAATAAGCCTGCAAAATTCTGGAATAATATGCCCTTGGGTGCTCATTCTTACCTTGCATGACCTTGTCGGCGGCTGGATATCCACCAGGTCCCGCGCAAGGGGTATACTCTTTCATAAGAGCAGCACATAACAGGCGGTAATCCTTTCTTGTGGCATCAAGTTCACGCTCTATAAAGGACAACACCATCCTGGCTGAAGTGAGCCGGATCAAACCTATTTTATCCTCAACAGTAGCATTGGGATAGCTTCTTAATTAGAAGTCAAGGTCATGCAGATAGGCCTTAGTGTCGGTCGAACCCAACGGCCCTGGCTCAAAGCGTTGGACATATTTCGCTATTTTATGCAATACCGCTATTGAGAGCGGAGGCAGAGGGATTGGTGTTGTTGGAATAAAATTATCACGTGGAGGTGACTCACCAGACTCACATGGAGGTGGCATAAGGGGATTATGTGTAGGAGGTACAACAAAATCCTTCTGAGGTGGTGATGGTTGACCTGGACTCTGACCCAGTTCGTCTTTGAGTTCCAGACATCCTTGCCCCTCGTCAGAGATTGTATTTGTGGCTGCGGCAAGTTGTGCCTCACAGGCTGGTAAACGTTCATGTGATGTATGACACTCACTTTGTAAACGCACGCCTTGTTGGACTAACGCCGCTTCTTCCAATATGCACTCTTGTAGAGGTTTTGATGTTAGCTGCAACCGTTGGTGCAGAGCATCATAGTCTGAACACAGTGCTTCACGCAGCTTTCTCTCATATGAGTCTGCTTGTAACAACAGCTGACCTTGTGAGATCTCTTTTTCACGTTTCAATTCATTCTCCCAGGTCTCCTTATCAAATTGAAACTGTGCCATGAGTTTTAGATACTCCTCACGTGTTGCCACGTGGTCCTCTGTCTCGCACATCAACTTTATTTCAAGGGCTTCTGTCCTGTAGGCCTCAAGGTAAAATTTAGCTTTTAGCAAGAGTGCTATTTTAGCTAGCTCTTCATAGCCTGACTTTTTATGGCTGCAGAAGTTACACAGCCTGCAACTTCTTTTAGCTCGTCCTATAACTCTGTTGAGTTCATGCGGTCCACCTGGTCACCTTATGGATATAAGGAATCTGTGAGCAGCTTTAGGGCTGTCTCCAGCCAGTCCTTTCCATCACATGGAGCAACATTAGCATCCTCAGCTTTTGTTTAATCTGCCATGGTGTATTTACTGTTCAGCAAAACCTATCTGGTTAAACCGTAGCAATCCTAGAGTTTTCCAACAGGTAAATGTTTGTATTTATGTGAGCAGTGAGTTTCACACACTATTTTAGCCCTGGGTTTCATCAACAGTACTGTTATAAGCCAACTACTCAATAAATGGGCACCTGTGTTTAGGCCTTACCCCATGTATATTGTAAGTAAATGCTTCCTGTGGCAGTGTTACTTAATATGAGCTTAATTCTAACAGATATAAGAGCCAGGCTATTTCAGTGTTCATTTACTCCAATGCACTTAAAATTAAATAAACCTACAATATTTTCTAAGAAGACTGACAGCAACTTTGTAGTTGTAAACGCTCCTTAAGCAGTTTAATTTACCAGAATTTGCTATTTAAACAGTAACTCATAAACCAAGCTTAATTAACAAGTTTATCTACCCACATGCGTCTTTTTAGAAATAAAATTAAACGAGTTTGCAGCTCTCAGTTCTGAAAAACTGTTATACTCTTTTTTCAACAGTAGGTGGCGGTGTAAGCTTACTTTTACCAGTAGGAGTCACTGACGACTTCCTGTGAACCGTCCTGTTGACATCCGGTCATTAGCCGTTAGCTATGATTAGCAACGGTCGAACACGGTTCAAATCAGCATTTATGGACGGATTTAAAGCTTTACGTGGCGTTGCTTCACAAGCACGCTCTAGACTCATGACTTTAGGAACGAATGTCAGGGCTTTATTCAGCTTTTTTAAACACAAAGGAAAACTCCGTTAAAAACTAGCTTCATTTCTGGGGTCACGTGACTTTACAGACAAGTGAACATCGGGAGTGGGCTTTTCGCACTGACGCCAGAGTGAGTGGACGTACACGGCGTTACGTCACCAGCTTCTCAGCGAATCAGAACGTCCCAAACAGTGGTCCTCGACCAATCACAGCTCGTGTGTACCCGCCTTAAGCTAGCAGTTAGCTTCAACAGTCCGGTCAAATTATCGCCCATTAAAGCTTCGAAAATGCACAATTAACTGTGAGAATGTAACAAATCAGCATAGAAGCAGCTCTGAGTTGGCGCTCAGCTTCACAGACAACGTTTCACCATTTAAAACACGACTCGTTGAGTCCAGTAAACAGAACCGGGTCGAACTCGCAGAACCCCCGGTCATGCAAGAGTTTCAAACAAAATTAATGCGTTATTCTCTCTGCTTACAGCTTAATTACACAAACAAAATGACAAGTTCCAGTTCCAAAATGAACATCAACGCAATTCTGCATCTTTCTGAACACCACAGCCATAAAATATGTCTGTACCAAGGTAAAAACTCTGACTTTTTTATGCCAACATGACGCGTTATTTCACAATAACACAGGTCTCAGGTCACACATATAATTTATCTCTTCAGAAACGTTACGAGCCACCAATTATGTTATTTAAAACACATATGGGCCACCAATTATGTAGTATGTCAGGACAGCTTTGCTGGGGACATACTACTAATTAATTATTCTTCTAGCTAGTTCAAGCACAAAGAATATTAATTGTTTAATTACAACGGATTATTTTCTTTTTCGAGTTAAATTTCTGCCATGTGACCGAGATAACCGTGAGTGGATTGTTTAATCAGTGACATGAGACGCCATTTTATCTTTGACACATCAGAATAAATACGGTCATTTATTTAACAGAATCAAAATTTAACATCAAAACACGTACACATTGATTTGCTGATCTGTTTCTAATTAATAAACTTGGCAAGCTTTACTAACAAGACAACAGAACATTACTGATCGAGGCCGATTCACCTCTGAAGGCATCGAGCTTGATTACTGGTGAATAGAAAAGTTAAAGAGGAGAAATAGAAGTTTAAAGATTTAAAGAGGGATGAAAGCTATGTGTGGAACCAGGACATTGCACCCTTCCTCCGACATCCCGCTCAGCTTTCAGGACGTGCAGCGACTTTGTTACCTTAGATGGGGGATACCTCCACTCCGAAACAGAAGTCCATTAGTACGCTCCCTTTACAGCGTCTCTGGTTAAAGTAGCTGGGAATCTTTAGAATAAATGCCGAAGTACTCAGTTCCACCGAATAAGCTTCCTTAGAAGTGGAGCATTTACTGCTCGGGTTGATTGTACAGCGATGCGATCTGTGACTCCGCTAAATGGAGGGACCCCTTGGCACATGGTCCCATCCATACGCTGCTTAAGTGAGTCTCATCTCTGACCGAAAGTTCCAGCAAGACTTAGAAGAGATTAAGACTTAAGACTCCGACTGAGTTCCAGGACTGAACTCCAGGACTGAACTTCAGGACTGAACTGAATAGTTCTACGAAGTGTTCCTTTTAAAGGGGTATACACTTCCTGTTACGTGGTACTTCCTGATTGGTTGAAACAACCATCAGGGGTGTGGTTCTAGTGATGTCAAGAGGGTCACTAGAAGTCAAGAGACAGCAGGAATGTTTAAAAAACGGTTAGTACAGATGGAGAAATGTTATGACGAGGTGAGACAAACGCAGGTGTCAGTTGA